GAAAACATCATCATCAGGAATTAAAGTCCCATCATCTCGATTCCTTAATAATGCTATATCATTCGGATATGAACAAAAAGACGACGATCCATTTTATAAAGAGAATAACGCTATAAGACATCTTACAGTATGACTTCATTAACATGATTAAGTGTTTAGTGTATAACATAAAGCTAATTGTTATTTTTCAGAATCGAGATGATGGGACTTTAATTCCTGATGATGATGTTTTCCTTTCTGAAATCTTTGACCACATTAAAAATTCAACTAAAATAGAATATGATACTGAACTTACTTTATTTGAAGAGAATGAAAATTTTATCAAAATTTCATTTAGTATGTAGCCTATAAGGATAGATCAATTGATTCAGTGATTTACTGTATAGTTCCGAAAATAAGCACTATGCCAATTTTGAGATGCATTATAATGATCTCGGCCAGTATTACATGCAAAAAAGGAGCACTTACTTTTGGAACTATACGGTAATTTCATTGTAAGTTCATCCTGAAGTCTTCCACTATTAATATTTGAACCTAAGCCTTAATTTGACTAGAGACAAGTTTCGATAATCTTCACATGCATGTGTCGCAGGTAGTGACTGGATATCCGTAGGTCTCATAAAATTCTTGAAGGAGGATACGTGGGTTCAAATCTTAATGACATAATTTCTGTTTTTTTCTTAGTTTTTAGAAAAAGGCGTATATTTACATTTTTTTTATTCAACTTTTAATGGAAAAATGAGCCTATTTCATTACTTCGATACACATGCATTGATTAGCTTTAATACTGGATAATGCAAAAAACAGAATCAAATTGATCCTGCCTAATATAATTCATTTGCATACACTATGCTGCGCATTAGTATGCACTATAAAGTTGGTTATGATGATTAGCTTATCACTAACATGTATTTGCATAATATATATTTGTCATTAGAACTAAGAAGATAATGTTTATTCTCGTGGATCAATACCTGATTCTGAATGGGTGAATTATTTGGATAAATTTTTTAAATTTATTGTTGGCCGTCGAATAAAAAGAGTAAATGAATGGTTTGAAAAGAATCTTGCAAGATTTTCTAAAGAGCATAACGAAGTTGTAATTACCACCTATGCTCTTGAGCGTGAAATCAGTCGCCTCAACTTATTCTGGAATATTTGTCGTCTTAGCTGTGATAAATGTGGATTATTATGTCTTAAAGCTAGTCGACATGACGATAATCCAGACGATGCGGACCACGATTACCAAACTGATCATAAATGTCACCATAAATGTGAATTCAAAGAAGCTCATCATGATGAAATTATACCAGTCTGCGATCACTTTGCCGCACATCAAGGGAGACATAGATGCTCACTTTCTCACGCATGTGGTGCACCTTGTATTCATGCTGGCAAAAAAGAATTGTCAAAAAGGTCTATGTACAAAAGATGCTGGGCATGAGGATGAGGTTCACAAGTGCGACTCTTTAATGCATTATTGT